CTTTTGAACCCCTCCCCAACCCCAACCCAACATGGTAGACCTAAGGACGGAAACACACCCAGTGCAAACAAAGTTAAAAAGCTATTTTTTCAGTATATATGTTTCTTAGCAACAACTTCCGTATAACATGAAAAAGTGAAAAACTAGAAACTAATTTTTTTAATTTTTTGTGTTTAAATTTAAATGGTATGTGTACTTGCTTCACATTGTCTTTCTAAGTTGGCGTTCATGATTCAAGTATTTCAAGAGTGATATGTTCTCTTTTTGGATTCATATTCCAAACGAAAAAACTGAAGTTATATAAGGGAGGCAACTATGTGCTCAGACAGTCTGTCAATGACCCACCTTTTTTTCTCTCTCCGTTTTCTTTTTTCCTTTTATAAATGTATTTATTGCAAGTTGAAAAAAACGAAAAGGTCAAGTTAGTGCTGCTGCTGTTCCAAAAAAGGTCACGAGGTCAGAGTTGAAAGTTCTAAGTTCAGATTGAATCCGACCCTCCTCCCAGAAGGTCTCCAGGTAGTAAGGGAGCAGGGCTGCCCATTCTGTGTGGATCCTCTACGCTTGGGACCCCCCACAAGCTTGAAGAATAGTTTGGGGGCCCCCACAACGAACCGCCAGTGAGATCACCCCCACTGCTGCCACCGCCGCCACCACTGCTCCACTGCCCGAGCCCTGTTGACCCACCAAAGAGATTCAAAGCAGGTCCAACTGGATCTGTCTGGTTCTGTCCTGTCTCCAGGGATTGCCAGCCTGCTGTGGGTGCACTTGGGGTTGCTGCAGGTGTAGGGGGCTGAGCTTGTGCCAGAAAACGACTAACCTCTTCATCAGTGGCAAACTCAGCCAGGATGGTAGTGTTTCCCAACACACACCTACAACACAAGATACGTGGAAGAGAAAAAAAAAAAAAAATTAGAGCCAGAAAGTAAGGAGAAGTAATTCAGAAGGCATGGAAACAACAATGCCCAAACCAAAGGAGCTATCAGCTTGCCGCAATGGAGCAAGCACAGAAAACTTTAGCTGTTCTCAACAGTGAAACTGACTGACTCAAAGCATGAGAACTTCCATTTTATAAGAGGGAAAAAACCCCCCAAATCAAACCAACCTCCCCCTCATTCAGTTGCTATGCCTGCAACAAAACCTTTCTAAATTTAAACTAAGGTCCTGAACATTAACACAAAGAGCGACAGAAGTGCCTCTGCAGCATAGCTAAAATGGTAAATGCACATTTGTCACCTTTCAGACAAAACAGAGGAAGAACAGGTTAAAAGTCTGTAAAATTCAGGGTAAGATTAGTATAGTTCACAAGTTTCCACTGCGTTTAAGGGCTTATACTACCACCCCCTCCACATTCCCCTAAGATTTTTGTCTTAAAACCTCTCACATTTTCAAAACATACCAGAGCCACAGTCAGCTTGGAAAAGCTGAACAACAGGAAACCTAAGATCTGCAGCTCTTCAAGTAAGCTATTTCAGGTGTATCTCAAAACTACAGCAGATTCCCACATATCTGAGTTACACACACAAGAATGACTTTCGACTGAAACAACTCACAAGCTTTTATAAAATGGCCAAAATTATACAGTAAGGTGCATACTGGTTACAATTTCATCCTATTTTCACCTTCTTAGTTCTGTATGTGTCAGTTTGTGCCAGCAATTAAAGTAAAAAAAACAGAAGCCATCTTTGTTTCTCTTCTTCCTCTGGCAATGAACAGAAGATTTCTGTCCAACCATGATACTTCAGATGAGTTTCCAAGTATAGCACTGGACAGATGTTTTGTGTTCATGAGTAATGCAGAAACAGAGAATGGACACATGGATTACTTACATGTGCAGTGCAGTCTGGGCCTTGGCCGCCTCCTGTTTGGTGTTATATCGGATAAGGGCGGTGCCCTGGGTCAGGTTCAGATGGAATGTCAGCAGTGGGCCATGCTGCATGCAGATCGTCCTCAAGGTTGACCCATCAATCTGAGGAAGAACAGTCAGGAGAAAACAGATGTTTGTAACTATTTCTCGAAATGTATTTCAATCCTAACTTCATCTCAGTAACTAAAAGATGACCTGCTCTCAGAAAGGAAAACAGGTGAAAGTTGTGGGAACTAAGCAAAGGTGAGAGAATTTAACTTTCAAATAGAATCAGTATGCTTTGGCTTCTCACAATGACTTTGCTTTATGGAATAATCTGACTTATTTCTGTGGTTCACTTATAGCTTGAGTCCAGTCTTTCTCATCTCACTGAATTTCTTACAGTATCACTATCCACAGGTTGGCAGGTTTTCCAGTAATTATATACAACTTGTACTTCACGCTATTTTCAGCCATCAGGATTTGTACCAAAGGAAACAGAACGTCTTAAGTCTCCAGCACTCTTGATTTCAGTAGAATTTACATCAGCCGTTATTTAAAAGCTCTTTGCAAAACTTGAAACATCACCTCTACAATGAGGGTTTTTTAAAACTTATTTTGATGTCTTTTTGTCTTTGTGGTTTATGGAACAGCAAGTCACAGAAACGAGTCAGTGATCTTTCTGCCAAACCTCGCAACTCATTCCTCTTAAACTCATGTTTTCACAGCAGCTGTTGCCTACATTCCTTCTGCAGCAGTAACAGCTTGTTACTTACCTTCAGTAACTGCTGTTCTCCAAGGTGTTCTGTACAGACAGATTCCATTCCTGGTATGCCACAGGAACACACACACACGAATGGGATCCAAATGTGCAGATACTTAAGGAAGTGCTACTTACTTTCTTCTCCCTTTCCCCTCTATTGTGTAATACAACCTCAAATGAGGGAAAAGGAAGTTGTGCGTGGGACAAAGTTAAAATAGAGAAACTTGAAATGAAGATTCTGTCCCTAAATTCACCTTAACCTCTACACTTCTCTCTAGTACTGACCCACAATGAATAGAGGATTTGTTATGGAAGAGACAATTATAATCTGCTTCTTTCTCCCTTGTATTAACTAAAGTGCTTCCAAATTATATTCTTCTTCCACTAAAGGATTCCTAAAGCAGTATTAAACTACCTTGCACAAGGGAGACTTAGAACTGTGCCTCTTTATCACACCACTGCTGTTTCCTTCACATCGAGAAAGACAGTCTTTTCTATGAAAGAAGCAAAGTTTGCCATTTTGAGTAACGTGATGATCCTTTCACACTGATGTTTTCTTAGACTGTAGCAGAAGCATGGTAAATTATCCTGCTGAGCTGGGGACTCTCTAGACCTCAGGGTGCTGCTGATAATCGTAAAGGCTTTTCCAAAGTCTTGAATACAGACTAATTGGGATTGCTAAAACCAGGATCTCCACAGAATTCATTCTGAATGGAAACAAGTTCTGAGAATACTTGCAGGAACAGGCTAACTAGACTGGTTTTGGCAGCAGTGCTGGAAACATTCTGTGGTTTTACTATGGAAACACCCAAGTGAAAACTGGCAGTTACAACAGCTTTAGGATTGACAACACCCCTCAAAGAACAGTCTCTACCAGCTATAAACAGTTCCACATTATGGTCATGCAACTTATCCTCACTTTTAAGAAAAATCTTCGTTCCAATAATTTTTTTGAAACTCTAGGTACTGAAAGGTTATGATGGTCAGGTAGCAAAAACTGAACATCTTACACTTAGCTGAAGAGATTACAATTGAAAAAACAATCAGACTGCAGCCCAATTTAGTAGAAACACATCTTAAGTATGCTGATAAATCTGATTTTGTTAGATTTTATTCAAAGAGAAAGAACTGAAGAATCCACAAATCTATCTCAGTAAAGCAAGCGAGTTCCCAGAGACAACAACAGAAAATACCTGTGGAGTGAGATTGTGAAGAACCAGCCAGTAGCTAGGACGAACTGAGCCACCATCACTCCAAGTAGATGCTGCAAATTAGAAGACAGAGCAATCAAAATGGATTTGATACAAAGAAAACCATTCTTCTTTACAGTCAGTCTTCCAGTCTCAGATATATTCAGCATTATGAGCCCTGCTAACACATGAAGGCCTAAATCATCAGTCCTGAAAACAAAACCGCATTTTTCCTCACATTTCATGTAAGAATTAATTTTTAATAGCATTTATCAAAATTCATTTTTTAATAGCGTTTATTTTTGAGGAGTCTCCCACCCACAGAAAGCATCTAGTCTTGAAAGGCCCCATGCAGTAGGTATTCCCTTCTGGCAGCTCTCAGCCCTCTTCACTCATTCTGTGCAGCAGGACCTGCCATTCCACACACCACCCTCACCCACCTCCCACCCCAATTACTGATAGCAAATTTCCATTTCAAGAAGGAACTATTTTTTTCCTTTTACCAGGCAACTGCAACTTTCTTTCCTCCAAACCATTAGTGCTGTAAAACGTACACTCCTCAGGTCTGATCAATGGTGCTATCAGTTGATTCTTCTCACCAGAAGCAAGCCTTGAGTCCTGTGCCCCCCAGCCCCTGACCGATCGGGGTGCTGTGCTGTTCCATGGAGATGATGGTTTGGGGTTGGTCAGGCCAGGAGGTGGGCGGGGCAGCCCTGTAGTGTTCCTTGAGGAAATATGGTTTTTCCACATCTTGTTGGAGAGATGAGTGGGATTGTGTCCTATAGGATCTGGGGACCATGTTGATTTGTAATCACTGAATTTTGCTAGAGGATTAAATAAATTGTATGTATTAGAGAAGTGTACAAGATCTAAACCCTTCCACCACATTTATATTGGAGACAAGCACAAAGCACAGAACCGCAAAACAGTTAATCTACCACACCAAAAAAGTCATGTTACGTGCAAGTTAATCTTTGCTTATTTTATATATGCTAATAAAAAAAAAGGAAAACCCATAGATTGTTTATGATAACATAACCAGTCACAGTATGTTCAGTCACTAGTAAGATAATAGCAACTTCTATGTCCACACTACATTTCATTTGAGAATCTGAGAATTTCTTACAAGTTTGGGTACTACTGACCTTTAATGAAATTTAATGTTCTTCAGGCCAAAAACTTGCAGAGAACTGAAATAAGTATTTACCACTCTTAGTCTACTAAGCTAATGCTACCTCCCAAGGATGTCCTCCTATAATATCAAAGCTTTCTCATGAACCACAAATTTCATACAGAGTTGACACAACGATTAACGCATAAAGAAGGCCATTTAGCTGTATGACAGCTGAACTTTTAAACAATCTTGATAGTGCATATTAATTTTTTACTAGAAAGCCAAATTACCATTATTACCAAATGCCTATTAGGAGAAGTTAAGACGAATAGTGGATATCCCTAACACATTTCAAGAACCCTTTATATAAGAGTCAAATAAAAGAGAAAAATTAACACACTATAAAACACATCACTATCGATCATGAATATTTGTGGGCTCTTCCTAAAGAAGTTTTCCTGAAGAAGGCAGACCATAAATTCTCCCACAACTTCTGACACCAAGGGACATTTGTCACCCAGCAAAAAAAAACCCCAAACGTCAAAACTGCTCGAGTAATTTCTTTTTTCCTGGTTCTGTTATGAGAACCAGCGAACACAGACCATGCAATCTGGGGGTAAGGGCACTTGTGTCATGAATTACCTTAATCATGAATTATTTTAATCAGAACTCATGTGCATGTGTGTGCAAGTATATGTATTAAGCTCTATTCACTAACAAAACATAGTAAATTATTTATTTAAGACAAGGTAAAAAAACAGATTTACAGTATGCCAGGGTGTCACAAAATAATACATTTGGGAATCAAGACCATAAAGCTTTCAGTAAATAAAAGCTGCTTCATTTTACAGTTGGATCACTATACTTCCACACAAAGAGTAACTTTCAATAGTAAACAGGTTTCAAGCACTAACCTACGAAAGTAAATGAAAGTGCTTAAAAACTAGACTCAGTTTGCTTTACAGATATGTGAATCCTAAATTCCTAATTCAGATGACACCTGCTTTCTGGCTGTAAAATGCTGCTATGTAGTTCAAACAACATGAGCAGAAGATAGTATGTGTGCCAGGCAGTGGGCTAGTTTCCTCAATTCAACTATGACTTCAATAATTTTTTCTCTCTTGGGTCTTTTTTACATGCTAGACAAAAATTAAGCAAAGGTAAGAAGCTGATACATGCCACTTCTCCGCCCAGGCTCTGAAGGAGAAATCTTTTATGTCATTGGAATGCTGCATACACAGATATTACTTCAAACCAAAGTCACCCCACAAACTGGCAGCAGGAGCATTGTTTTTCTTGAAGGCTAAATGTGATTTTCAACACTTTCTGTGAAGATGCTGAGATAACATATGAACACAGCTTTTATTCAGTAAGATGCAAAAAAACAAAGTTTGGGCCAGATGCAGCTCTCAGCTATGTTCATCACTTCTGCTATTTACACACAATTCTTCAGTTTGACTAAGTAGTTGTCAAGACAATGGTGTCTCAAGAGAAAACTGGCATCTGTAAGAAGTTCAAAATCCAAATTGTTTGTCTACAGAAAGTATTTCCAGTATCCTACTCAGAAGCATGTGCAGAAACCATTTTCCACAAGAAAGCTTTGGAGACCTTCTTACCAAAGATCTGAGGCAGGTATCTAAATTACTATTTACAGGTCAGCTATCAAAAGCCAGCAAACAAAAAGCCTCCTCTCTCTCTCTCCAGATTTCAGGAAATGATGAGTGCTATAAAATGGGAGGATAAAATGTTCCCTTCACAGCACTCTAATATTTTAAGTTAAAGTGACAAAAATCACTCACCTTACTGCTCTAATTCCTTAACTCATACATAAAAGAGCAGGTGTGTTTAAAAAATTGTGACAGTCCCCCAACCCCTTACACATGTCAACAGACTGTGCACGTTTTGTTTTGTTTTTGTTTTTTTTTTTCCTTTTGCATCTCCTGCTTTTGTATTGTGGATGGGAGGAAGGGCAGAGGATCTTAGCCTAGTTTTTAAAGCAACTACAACAGAGTATTTTATCATCAAGAGGACAACGTGTCTGATCAGCTACTCAAATTTTTAATTTCTCAGAAATTACTGAAAGACTAAATTTTCACACTGGAACAGGAATGAGGAACTAGTGAGTAAGTGGAAAATGCTTTGTCCAGGTAAGTTTTGGAGCCCACATACCTGAAGTGCTATGAACGTTGGTGAAGGAATTGTCAGAGGCACTGTAGGGCCAGGCACCAGGTGAAGGCAGCGAGGTGTTGAGGGAAGAATTAGACCCTATCAAAGGGAAAATAAGAGAGAAAGAGAAGAGTAGGCCAAATTCATAGAGATTCTGTAACACTTGTGGCCCAAGAGAGCCACAATTTGTACCAATGACAAGCTTTCACATGATAAACAGCCATGGTGCAAAGGCACATAGGTTCCCTTAGTCAAATGCAATAGACTGTCACCCTGTTACGACAGGAAGATCAGAATATTCTTGAGTATCAGAACAACTTAAATAATCATATACCAGTTGTTCACTGTTTTACCTGTGGTGTTGTCCCGCAGAAGTTGGTGGTCAGTATCTACAATGGGAGATGTGGCTGTCCCCCCAAGCACGCTTCCAGGGGTCACGTAGGGGTCAGATTCAGGGTCAATGTTTTGTATACCTTTCCATGGCACTCCCGGTTGGAACTCTGTGTCAAGAGGGAAAAAGAAATTAGCTGAAAACAGGGAAACGTTATTTACTGGAAGTAGTTGTTGAAGATATTTTAGGAGGGTAAATAATTGTCTTCTACACTGCTCCTCAGGAAAAAACAAACAAACAATCCCCCCAAAAAAACCCAAAACAAACACAGACTTTTCTTAAGTAAAATCTATTTCACATTGCCTCCTAAGGAACTCTCTCTGGCATTTGAATTAAGTCTACATACAAAAAAGTGGTTCACTGCATACGGTATTCCTTTGACTATTCCTGTTTTACTACACTCGGATGAGGATTCAACAGTTTTATCCTTTCTTAATACATAATAAATTTTTAAGATATATAAGATTAGATTCTACACACACACTCTGTGTGGGTGCAAAATTTCTCAAGGAAAGGCTACCTACCTTAAGAGTTTGTAAACACAATATTTGACACATTACACTGTAGGTACACACACACTTTATACATTAACTATCAATACTGAGGAAACGCTAAGGTGAGATGCCTTGTGGTAAAAACAATGTATATACTCATTGACATTCTTCATGCTTCACAATGAGATGGAAGATACTTATCATGCTTTAATTTTCCTTTCAAATATAGCTCCAGGCATGCCAGATTTTTAAGACAAGTTATATAAAGCATGAACATACAAAAACTCCAGTTACTGTAAGAAAGATTGGTAACTTGGTTCCTTCTCTGAGTAGATGTTCAATTAATAAAGTATTGTGGTTGATTTTGGAAGCAATGGTAAGAAAGTAAAGCTGCCAAACACAAAAACAAGTAAAGAAGCTTCAGATACTATGTGACAATTTGGGTAAGAGTGAAAAGAGTGCCAAGGTGGCAGATTCATCCTTTACAGATACAAGTCCAGGATATGGAATGATATCTTTATTCCCAACCTGAAGTTTTGAAATAATTAAGGACAGAATATTTGCGTGTAATTAAAAAGTCATGATTAAAAGTGGGACCCAGGATGTCCTCTCTGGAAATAAACCATGTAGGGTGAATCCAGCATGGAAAGGTTCATTTCAGTCACCTTTGTAATGAAGAAGCACAGTCAAGACTACAAGTTTCACAGACAAATACAGAAGAAAATGTGATACTACTGGTTCAAACACTTGGCAGAGCACGGGTGGTATTTAATAATGCACTGGCAGGAGAATGTCAGAGAAGAAATGTCCCACTGGGTCAGAACCGTGGTCCATCTAGCCCAGTGTTCTGCTAACAGTGGTAGGAGAGATACCATTCAGGGACAGAATACAAAACTGGCCGCTATCCGTAGGCTACTTCCCTCACACTCTCCCAGTCCTTCTGTCTAGGACGTCAGAAATACCCTCTATCTGCTAGCACCTGCTTGTGAAACTATTTTTCCATCAGTTTATCCAATCACCGTTTCAAATGGTTAGCACCATCTGCTTCCAGAAGCTCTAAAAGCAACACATTCCAGAAGTTCACCACTCTGATGGGGGGGGCGGGGGGGAGGGAAGGGAATCGCTAATCTATTTGAAATTTATATCCTCTTAAGTCCAAGCACTGCACCATGTTTCTAGTGTTGCAGGATTCACAGAATTACAATTCTGCGTTTATTTAGTTCACTGTCTTCATGATTCTGTAAACTTCAGTCACATTTCCCAATCTTTAGTAACGCCACAAAATAATCTACAATATCAGGTATCAGCATTCCTAACAGTACGAGCAATCAGCACTGCATCAAGGGAGGCATCTGCTCAGTTACTGCCAAAATACTGCAATCCTCTGACAAACAGGACCACCTTATGCTTAAGGAACAATCAATGCAGCTCTTGGGGCTAGTCAAAAGGTCACTGTTCTGAGATAAAGAATCCATGAACAGAGGTTAGGACCTGGAAATTAGAACTTGTTTGTAAAAAAGAAAGAAAAAAAAAAGCATAAGTCCAAATCTTGCTTTTGTAAAGACTTCTGAGAATTGTGAGACTGAAAATTAAGTGCTTAGTAAGCTCTCATCATAAAGTTAAGAGATATTAAAACAAAGCTCCAAAGATCAGGCCTATCATATATAAACACATTCACTCATCAGTATAAACCTGGTCTGGAGAAGAGTTTTCCTTGAACTTCAGCATACAGACAAATTTCCAAACTATCCTTTGGGACTGACAGTTATTCTCATGCACATTCACCAACTCTCCCTACAGACATGCTCTTTTATTTCCAGATAGTAAAGAAAACATGAAGTGCATTTCTCCACTGATATTTGAAAGGTTCTCCCAAAAAGTTAAAACATAAAATTATTAGGAAAACCATGACAGACACATCCAGCCAGTTTGCTCGGAGTGTATGACTGAACTCCTCCTGAATGGGAATATTACAGTCTAATAATACCTAGGTATGCAAGTCTGTGTGACATAACCAAAAGATACAGTTCTCACCAATGCAGCAAAACTTGCTCTCACCTCCAGCTGTGATATCATGATTGGGCACCACTTCATTTATCTTTGTGCTGAACAATACTGCTCTCTTGAACGGCAGAATTTCTGCAGCAGATGGCATTTAGGAGGAAAACGCGAAAGGTGTAGTCAGGGTGAATGCTGAGTGACCACTGTATTCATTCAAAGGAAAAACGCACCTATTTCAAGAGGTTTTCTCTTGTAAACTAATTTTTGTTAACTTATTTTCCAACCCTAGGAAGAAAAATTGTACCTTCATGCCAGTAACTGACAGTGGACCTCATGTACAAGCTTGCAAAGAAAAAGGACGTAAAGTGTAAAATAATTTTGGGTCTTTATTCTTCATCAGGGGTGTTTATAAGGTGGATCATGATTTCAGCTAAGTTTTCCTTGTTGAGGAAACCAATAAGCTAGAGAGGCAATGAGATGGTTTAAGTGGCTGATGGTTATGGGACAGTAACACTTGTCCCAGTAGTCTATGGACCTCATAAGAGAGCACAATGCAGCAATAACTGTGTAAAAGCCACATGCCAAAACCCATGATCTGTTACATGACATCTGCAAACACAGTCATTTACACAAGAGATTAGGGATAATACTGACAATACCAGTGACAGCTGATGTTCAGCATTTGTGAACGCCGGCTATCCTCTCACAGTGGTGAGGCAGTCAAGCTACAGCAAAAATTTTACTTATCACTGACAGTGGGACCGCAGGTGCCACTAAAAAAGCTCTATGATATCAGAGAGGGGCAAAGAGTAGCTGTTCAGCTCCTCACTTCCATAACAGCCTTCTGGTACCAAGAATCCTGCCAGAGCCAGTGGCTGTTCCAAAACCCGGAAACACAGCAGAGCTGATCCTCTGATCTGATACTATGAACAGTAACTCCAGCTCAGTGAAGAAGCTCAGAGCTTAACAATCAGGCTGACAGAAATGTAATGTAAATACACCTCTATAGAGAACAGTCAGTGGTATGAAATATTGTGGGTGTGCAGATGTTCTTGAGATAACTAATTCTTTAACTCTGCTCATCAGAAAACATTTTCTCTCCAGTTAGACACTGAGGGGTTCCCAAATAAAAAGCTTAAACTACTTTGTATAGGTTTCCTGCAGTTTTATCTGTCACAAAGATTCCTGAGCTTTCTGATGCAGTCTGTGCTACTGGTTTAACCAAGAGATGTATCTGCACCTTTATTTTTCTGTGCTTGAGGGGATTCACAACAGAGGATTCGCAGGTAGGAATGTTTTCCTGGAATGTAAGAGTCTTCTAGGCAGAGAAAAATCACAGCATCCGCTGTTTGCTGAACAGTACTGGTGATTAATCCATGAAACTTCAAGGATACTATTATGTGTTTAATGAGTATTCTATATAGAAAATTATATGTGTGTTCAAATATATATGTCTTTTCCCTAGATACTTGAGTTTTCTAGAGGCAAGATAAAATTCTGCCAGTGAAACTCCAGAAGACTTAAAGAATAAAGACATTAAAGAATGTGCTACTGCCTGTAATCCAAAAACCAAGAAACTTCTACTCAAGGCACAAGATTGCTGAGCAGTACCAAAACATGGCAACACTCTTCTACCCTTTACGTGACACGAGCAAAGGTGAACCACAACGGTATGGCCCACGCATTGTGTACATATTGTACCAGGAGCGAAGGCAAAAGAAATCTTGTGGCCCACAATGGTTTTACAATATTTGTAAACAACTGCCAGAAGAAAAGTTCATGCTACATAAAATACAAAAGCTCAAGACAAGAAAATCCTGTTCCCACCATGACAAAAAACAAGCTTTCGCATCTTTTGTTTTCTGATTCCATGCTATCAGTCAGAATTTTTACACCCTCTGTCAGCCTAACGCAACGTAAATAAGGAATCAATACAAGAGGAGGGAACTAGTATCGTGTATTCTATGAACAAGTGTGTTCTCATGAAAATTTCTGTAAGTGTGAAGTCGTGAAACTACAGAAGAGTTCACCTAAGAAAAACCAAATACTGTTCAGGCAATTCAGGAGTTAGTTCATATTTAGCCCAGCAATTTTTTACTGGAAGTTCAACATTTATGCTATAATTTAATGTGTACAAAATTTAAAAACCGAGATGGGCCAAGCAAGTATTTCCTTGCAGCGGTTATTTAAAAAGTATGACGAGGAAAGGTCCTGGCACATCTATTCTGTATCACAACCTCTGCCTTAGGTAATACCTGGAGGCCAGCTGGCATTGCTGGATTTGCTTCCAATCTTGTTCGTTGGTGGAGATTTGGCAGGTAACCAACTATCACCAGCAGGGCCTGCAGGGCCACCTAGTGGGTCGCCCTGAATTATGTCAAACTGGTTGTAGGGTGATCCTCCGCGAGCCTTTCCAGGGGGCACTATTGCACCTGAAGTATTAAAAAGATACATTTACACTCAAGAAAGGTTAAGATCTTTATGAGTGTGGAATACTACACAAAAAAAAAAAATATTTAAGCTGCACAGTCATGAGGAAAGACATTCACTAACTTGAAGCATAATTTCCTCTGAGGTATTTCATCTCTGGCAAGATGATACTGCAAGAGCGTTCCCAAAATAGCCAGTCCCCTTCTCACCATTTTTGTGCATATTGGCATCTTGTGAAGCCACAGAGGGCAGCCCTTCCATCATTGTCCACTGCTTAAAGCGGGATTCTGTTCCAGTCTCTTCCCCTCCTACCATGCCATAATCCATGCCACTTGAGCCAAAGCCTGTGAAACGAAAACAAAACTCCATTGCCATTCACTCTTTCTGGTTTAAATACCTTCAAACAGGGAGTCATTGTGATCTTAAGAAAGGTATAAAAAAATAAATCAAAAAAATCAACACTAGCAAACGAAACGTTCAAGAGGCAACTTCCAAGTGAGCTTGTTAGGTCAGTATACCACTGAGATATACTTTGTTCTTAGGTTTGTCTTCTTCCCACGTAACGAAAAATAATGCAATTTGATCAAGAGTTGACACTTGTCATAACCTTCGCCCTAGTGCTTATATATAAATTACTCATCTCTGGATCCAGATACAACTGGCTAACATGATAATACCATTACCATATTAATATGGTAACTACAGGCAATGCACCAAATCTCTTTCCACAGAGCACTTACCTGAACCGTATCCAGGTATTTGCCCTTTGGTCTGTAAATCTGAGAGACCCACATTCAAAGGATTAGGTACCATGCTGTCTAAATGTGGCTTAGGCCCAACAGGGTGGGATGGTGAATGCTTCATGCCAGGCTGCCTCTGTTGCTGCTGCTGGAGGGCACTCACCATACGAGCAATCTGCAAGTGAAAAAAAATTGGGGATGACATATCCTAGGCTGTAACACAGAATTCCAGTAAACATGAAGAAACAGTGCCTTGGAAGACATCCAAAGGACCTTGCTCTCTGAAAAGTGCAATATGAAGAGAGTGCAAACTGAAGGGAGCAGACAACATCTGTAAAGCCAGTGCTGTCTTTGCTGCAGACTGCATTTTCCCAGTGCACTTTATACTTTGTACGATTGACAAAAACAGTGCCACACCTGTTGCTCCTGCTGTTGTCGCACAGCTTGAGATAACTTCCTCTGGCTCTGTAACAGCTGCTGCTGCTGTTGCTGCTGAAGGAGGAGCTGACATGCCTACAAGGTAAGTGGGAAGAGTGAAAATACAGAGCTCATCAAGTGAAATATAATTGTCAGGAGCTAGTCACTAGAAAATTCCTTGCTCGGAACTTAGGTAAACTGTTTCTCATTCCACACACTCAAATAAAATGACAATGAATGTATTAGAAGAATGCTGTATCCTTCACTTGTTTCTAATTTCACATCATGCAACAGTATGAGTAGCACCTGCTTTATTACCACCACTATGAGTACAAGCCATTAAAAATCAACAAGCAACTGCTTTCTTTACAAAGGCATTGCTTAGAATCAACACTAACCCACTGCAGCATTCACAACAATTACACAGGTCCATTTAGCTTATCTGCTGCCCTCTAACAGCTCTATTTTCCTGTACAACAAACAGGGAATACTCCTACAAAAATAACACAAGATCAGTAGACAAAACAGAACTAGAACAAACATAAAACGAAAACTCTTTCAGTAGACAATTTGTAACCAGACACAAGATTACTAGCTACTTACCAATTGAAACTGGGGAATTTGTGGAAGCTGGCTCAGCATGGCAATCTGTTGTGGAGAAAGCTGGGGGCCCATATTGAAAAGACCAGGATTCAAGCCACTGTTGGGAAACTGTTTGAGCATGGAGGCCGAAACCTGCATGGAAACCAGTTACATATCCTCAAGAAATGCACTGCTATGAGAAAAGATGATGAAGTAGGAGTATTTATATAAAGGAGCATGTATGACACCAATCATAAATGGTATTCCAGGAAAGACATTACAGATTTATTAACACATCACATTTAAACATGCACCATCTGTGACTTGAGCAGAGTGAATACCTCACTTGATTGACAATATACAGTATTACACGTGCAGATGCAGACACACACACAAAGGTTCCTTCCTCAACCAAATGGTTGCTAAAGACTGCACTAAATTAAAATGCTGATATATATGCAGCTAACCAGTAATCACAGTACTGCATTATCACATTAAAAATGTACTGCTTGACAAGGGAAAAGAAAGGCATTCAGGCAGTCACTGGAGCAAAGAAACAGTGCCTCACAGAAAGAGTTAATCTCTGTATGCTGAATAAGCTATAGTAAAAGACAGGAGTAGGTGGAGAAGAATCCCCCCATTTCTCCCTGCATTACTTGAGAGTTACACAAGTAGAATTCAAGGGAATCTCCAAAAGTCTTCACCAAGTCCAAAGCAAAAGGTAAACTTGTGCATTAGGAAACCCTGAGGTCTTAGAGCTCTGCAATGTAAATGCAACATGCAGCCCTTCATCAGGCCTCTCTTTCATGGGGGCAGGAAACACAGGCCAAGACCGCTCGAAAAAAAACTTAAGCAACCTCTCACACTTCAGAAGAGCTTTCAGCTTTCACTTTTGTTGTTTTTACAATACTTTGCAAAAGCCTATGTAAGACACAGGATTCCTGAATCCACTTTGAGGTTTAAAAATACTGGTAGTGAGCATTTACCTTCAACTGCCTTGGAACAAGAAAGAAGGCTAATCCTTCTGCACTGAGTTTTAAGCACTTTCAACTATGAATTTTAATTTTTAATCTTAGACCTAAGCTTTTGATTTCATAACGTCAAGACTAAGATGTATAAGTAACCTCAATGATCTGCTCTGAAGGCTGTAGCTCTACTTTTTACAAGTAACCAGTTACTATAAATTCCTTACCTGGGGAGAAAGAAATTGGGGAGGCACTTGCGCCCGGATATTGGGGGAAGGATTTAGTGGCTGCACTGGTGTGTGCATGCCCCTCGATTGTGCTGTGCTGTTTCCAAACAAACCATGATTGCCACCCTATAAAATTAAAGCAGTAGTGAGAAGATAAATCTTTCAGGAGAATGGATTTCTATGCTATTAACTACATACTAATAACAGTGAGGCAAGTACTGATTTAAACAGAGTACCCTTAGAATTACTGAGATGTCTGCCCTAAATCAGTAATATTCTGCCTGGTTTACAACTGCTGTACTACATTCTTGAAATGCAGGCTCTTTCTCCTCTACATTGAAGAGTCATGTTTATCCACTTATTTCAAAGCACATGACAAAGCCAATGTTTTATATTTTGCACTTTACATGTTGGGAAATGAAACTTGGAGTACAAACAACACGCTCAAAAAAAAAACCAAACCAACATTCCACTGGCTTAAAAGTATGGCAAGACTGTGTCACTGAGAATTCTGGGCCATCATTTTAGAAAAGTCAGGTACTTTTTCTGAATACGTTGTTGAGATACCACTCAAAAGCTCATTACCTCCCCTGCAGGCCTTTCACTAACCGAAATTAGAAATAAAAAATGTTATTAAAAATTTTCCTTCTTCTGTGAAAATTTCAGCATTCTGGATTGAGATGTTTTTCTTCCCTCCCCCCACTAAATTGAAGAACAGGAGAATTTTCAAGTGAGGAAAAAACGTTTGGGTTTTTTTTCCTCCAAGTGATTTATCTTCTAAAGCAAGAATACTTGCTGTTTCTTTTGAGTTTTTTTTTTTTTTAAATTAGAAGCATTTACTGTTTTATAAGCGACTTCTGTAATAATATACCCTACTGCATGAAAAAGACCAAAGACAATTTGTATTATGTTTCACTATTTCAGGCTCTGAGCAGACTGTCTTTATTTGTAACATCTTTCAACAAAAGCCACAGGAAATGTTATGGACAGTCTCCTACACTAACAGTTTCATGCTGTTGCTTCTAAAAGCTGAAGCTCATACTCCACAAGGTCCTTATATGCCATGCTTCTGTCCCTTATTTGCAAGATCCTCAGAACTTCCCATCTGCTATATATCAGCATGTTTATGATCCTTGGATACCTTGGGTTCCGAACAGTACAATCGCCATCCCTCAGACATCATTTTCTGTTCTCCTCCATGCCAGCACTGCTGTACCCAACATAAATTCATCATTCTTCCAAATTGAGATTGTGCAGGCCTTCTCCAAAACCTTTCTTTCCCATATACACCAAGATTTCATAAACTTTGCCTCCCTTCTACCATAATACTGTGCATCTTCCACTATCCCTTTGCTAAAACAGAAGTCTCTCATCCTGTTTGAATACTGGCAGCATTATGGATAGCCTCATTCACCTACATCACATTTCACCTCCTTAATGTAACTTCTCTTTCAGAAGCAACTCAAGATGTCATACTAAGCACAAAGGAGGATAAACAAAAAACCCCAAGAGAGAAAAGAGTTTTTATTCTGGATACAATTGACTGGGGTCAACTACACATTATAATTTTTAAGGGCTTGAAGCTGCAGCTACACTTTCAGCTCTCCGTAAAGCTCAGAGTTCTGCACACCAAATCCAAGAAAATGCCTGCAAATTTTGGACTGAATCTGATGTTTAACACGGATTGTGTCACATAGAAACAGAAAGACAACACAAAGAAACACCATCATGTTAGGCATGTGACTACATAAGCTAGTCCAGTTGCAATACTTAGGTTCTATTCTTTCATTTCCTAGTATTCCTGCAACATTTTATTCTAGCATAATGCAAAACATAATAGCCAGAAATTCTCCCAAACTGCAGTTACCTACTTCATTTCTTCTCCACCATTCCCTTGTATATAGAACAAAAAACATTGCTACTTCAAGAGTTTAAGGGCTGCTAAATCGATCCTTTCTTTGGGCTATGGGGAAGGGAGAAGGGAAGAGGCACAATGTAAAACAACTGTAAATTTTTAAAAGCACATTTCTACATACAAGGTCATTGGGTGGAGTCTGGAAAAATTCAGTGTCAGCGGGTGGTGGGGTAAATCAACAGCCTATAATTGGGTTTTAAAACAGCAGTTAAAATACAAAGGTTGCCACTAAATGATTTCTGAAAAGCACATCTGTCTGCTGCTGCACTGTGATTCACAAAGTAAGAGGCCAAAAAAACCAGTTGGAATACATCTTGATGATAGGAACCAAAGTGGATTGATTCTCAGTGGCCTGATATAGCTGAAATTTCCATTAACAAAATTAATTTATTTAGTAGGAAAACAAATGCAAGCAACCAACTAACCAGGATTAAGCCCACAGGTTGCAGCCTTATAACAATACATCTTATAATGTGGCCTGCTTACTTGTCTAGCAGCGAAGTTTTGGGGACTGAGCCCTGAGCCGATTGCCCCAAGGCCGACGTTGGATAGTGTGGAACCAGAGGGAGACAGCTTGTAGCTGGGAGAAGGGGAGAAGGGAGAGCAGGGAGCCTCATCCCCAAGGCACCCATCTTGATTGGAGAAAGGCAAAGTCAGCTGAAGTAGCAGTTAGCCAACAGCAGGAGTTGGTTAGTGAAGCAACAGAACGCAAGAGGAGAGAAAGAGGGACGGTGAGTGACTAGGAAGAAGCAAAGTTAATTTGTAATAGCAATTACAAGGACAAAATTCTGACTCAAATGATCACTTGACAATTAAGATTTTGGTCCAAGGAAATGATCAATGAATTCCTAAAGTTTTCTTTTTAAAAATACATTTTGAACTCTCATGAAGTTAGTGGCTATTACCACTACAGGAAGAAACAAATCTTGAATGGATTCCTAATGTTAGCACACACCTACAAACACAATTTGTTAGGAATGCATTATCTCTACTAGTGGTATTTATTAATTAGGCCACCAGAGGGAGTTGACAAAACTGTTTTTTGGCCTGCTATACCAAAATGGAGGAGCTAAAAAATTCATTAACAGTAACACGCCTTCAGAATTTTTAAACCAAATTTCTTTTCCATTTTACATGTGATAAACTGTGGTAAAAAACCCCTAAAGCATTCTGAATCTACTGGACGCTTTCCAATTCATAATATGAAGCAATTAACGTTTGATAATAACAGTGAGAGCTTCTATTTAAAATAGGCAAGAATATGAAAGAAACGCTACCATAACATAGAACAGATGTCACAGAGAAACAGATGTCATACAGAAGCTTGCAGTACACGGACATACAGCATAAGGGGTTGTGGAATTTAGAAAGGGTGTTTCCAATAAACAACAGACATGAAAGCAGAAAAAAATTTGGAAGACTGTGATTACTTATGTTTACTTAGATCTAAACCAATTTTTTTTTTTAAACAGTAGATGACTGTAGTCCATAGCCAAAAGAATCACTGTGATGAAACCTATAATGAATTTCATTGCTACTTCCATGAAAAACAAAGGAATTTATTTCCATCCATATTAAAAGCAGGCTGTTCTAGAATAAAAAGCCTCATTCTCCCCAGATAATTTAGTTTGTCTATGCACGTCTGTTTTACATACACATTCATCCTACAAACATAACTCCCCCACAACTTTTACTATTGAGTTTGTCCAAGGTTACTTAATTTTTGGCACTTCCAGAGTAATACGGTAAAAACTGGGGCCTCAAATACAGAGGTTGATATTAATTTATCTTAAGATATTTCTCTCACCTTCTCAAAATAAGGCCCACTATCCGTGGTTCCCATGTCTTTGGAATTAGGTGGACGGAACCCAGATCGATCCTTTCTCATCATGTCGTTAAAATCCCCAAGATTCATGGCTCGTTTATCTACCTCAAACTTCTTATCTGGGAGACCACCTGCAAAAAAGAGGAAAGAAGGTGAAATCAGTGCCAATAATCTCTACCACGTTTCATGACAGCAGGCTCACAGACAAAGAGATCAGAGTATAAATTAGATTTGTCTAACAATTTAGCATGTCTACAGTTGCTATTAAAAGATACTGAAAAATTTTAGCAGAAAGTTTCATTTTTAAGACTGAACAAGTCAGTTTAATGTGAAGTACTTCTCCCAACTTATGTACAGATACAAACACATGCATTTCTACAGCAGCCCAGTTTAACTAATTATATTCATTTATACACAAATCTCAATGTCTTCCAAAACTCACACTATTACTTACTGGTATTCGGTATCTATAGAGACACCACTCAAACTGCAAAACCACACACATAATTTGATCAAAACAGTCATGTGAACTAACTCTTGAACACCACAGATCATCTGGTGTAGGGCAACTTCCAGACAGGCAACCAATCTCCCTCAGACTGTATGCAATGATTACAAAACCAGTAACAGAGACGCTTTTCAAACATCCCTTACAATCTCTTGCCACTGTTTAGTCAGTAATCTGGCGGAACATGAGGAAGAGATGCTAATAACAGATGATCAAACTGTAACTTACACAGTGAACAAGACAGCATCTTTCTCTATAAGCTTATCATCAGCCAAGTGCTGATGGAAGGAAGTTTTCTTACACACTGAACTGCTGCCAAGGAACCATTTTTTTGGTCATATGTGGCACTTGTAAAGTCTCAGATGCATATTGTTATGTTGAAGTAGCTTGAAAACATCTTCATTTTAAAATATGGACAACGTGATAGAAATAAGCATTACTCATTAATTAGTACTTTTAGTTTTAAACAATTTTGTTCAGTAGCACAGATGGCCTTTCCAAGAACAGTTTAAAAACCCCATCACTACAGTTAATAAAAATCTATGACGCTCCCAAAGGAAGTTGGTGATAGATATCCTACCCTACCACTGACAAAACATTAGGTATTTATCAAAAAGGGCAGACAGCTAATCACTCCCAACACCTTCAAAACACTTGTCTGTTCCTCAAAAAAGCTTCTCAAAGCCAGCATCTCTTCCTAATGTCCAGTCACAAGCTATTAATATTCATAGGTATGTTGTTGCCAAGAACCTATGAAATAAACCACTAATTACATGGGTTTCTCTTGCTGGCATGGCTTTCAAAGTAGATCCTGCTTCATCCTCTCAGATACCTGCAACATCATTTATCCCCCAAATACCTGGCAGATTACCTACATACCTTGACTTGTAACTAGAGTCATACTGACCTGGATGAGCTCATCGCTTTCTAATTTATCCTAAAAAGCTAGAACTGGCTCTGCAAAAGCAGTCACATAAAGTGTCACGTACATTTCAATCCAATCCCGTACATTTCAATCCAATCCTGTCAATATCTACATCTAACCACTACACACAATGCCAGCAATTCACTATCAAAAGGCTTTTGTGCTTTAATTCTAGACAGGACATCCTGTCATTAGTTGCTTGAAAAGAAACTGAAAGCGAGACAGAGTTGCATCACTATCTGAAATGAAACTGGGTCAATGCCAACACAAGATGACTAAGCCACAGAAACACCCTTTTGTTTCTTCAGTTATCCTGATGATCCAAATCAACTCAAACATTACCGAATGATGCCTTGTAAAACAGCTTGTTAAATAATGCCTAGAGCATTAAATAGCACCTTTAAAGGCTTCAAGCATAGATATGCATACCACTTAGTGCTGAGGTAGCTGCTTAAACTTCAGTGTAAACAAGGCCTTGTTAAGAGAGATGATAGCATTCATTTATCCCATTGACAGAAAATTCTAATGCAACCTTGAAACCTTGTAGTGTGAGTCTGTCTTGCCAATAAAAGCTATAAATAACACAGGTGGCTGAAGAGTAGCTTTACTTTACAGAGCGCAAGATGACCGTTAAAATCTGAAGTTTGCATCTACCACTGCAGTAGGCAAGAACACTTGTGCATAAATGAAGCCCCAAATCCTCTACATGTAGAAATGAAGAACGGGTTAAAAGTCCAACTATCTTCATAAAAGACAACACTCCGTCAGTTCTTGGATTTTTCCCACTATTAACATCTGTGAGAATCACCATGAAAAGTGAAAAATGCAAAATGAAACAAGAGCTTGGAAGATGACACTCGTGCCCTAGTGAGGAAAACAAAACCTATTAAGTAGATCTCCCCCACCATATGTGTGCAGTTTAAAAGAAAATAACCCAAACAACTGAATACAAACAAAATTACATAATGTGATCCTGTACCAGGAGATAGGAGACAGAAACTGCTGTTGAGCAAAGTTACCCAAAATGTTTGCAAACAAGAGCCTCAATGTGGTGAAAATACACAGCTTCGTTGGGGCAAACCAAATGGGAAAAACCCATTTGAACCATGTTTTCTGCTCGATCACAAAGATGGAAACATTTTAAAGATACTGGTTTTATACCCTCACCATAAATTTACATCATCCAAGCCTACTGAGCAAACATATGTGCTTGGATATCAAGGTGTTGCACCTGAATGTGAAATCAGGTTATGGCTTTGTAACTTATTCATAGTAGACTGTTGCATGAATGGTATTTGAATCAACAGAAATTGGAAATTAATTCCCCATTCTTTACAGGTGATTTAAGAATTCAGTGATCTGCAGAGATTGCAACTAGTACATTAAAATAGACGAAGGTGGTTGTGAAACAGGGGGATGGAAAAGATAAAATATTTAGTAATTCTGACAAGCTATTTACTGCAGCAAACTTCATGCCTCATGACTTCTGAAAGGTCATGCAGAATGGGAGAGGTGCCTGAGGACTGGAGGAATGCCAATGTCACTCCAGTCTTCAGAAAGGGCAAGAAGGTCAGTCAGCCTCACATCCATCCCTGGGAAGGTGATGGAACTGTTCATTCCAGAGGCCATCTCTAAGCATGTAGAGGAAACAAAGGTTATTGGGAATAATCAACATGGATTCACTAAGGGGAAATCATGCATGACCAATCTGATAGCCTGTGATGGCATGACTGGTTGGGTGGATGAGGGGAGAGCAGTGGATGCCGTCTACCTTGACTTCAGCAAGGCTTTTGATGCTGCCTCCCATAGCATCCTCATAGGTAAGCTTAGGAAGTGTGGATCAGATGAGGGGATAGTGAGGTGAGTGAAGAACTGGCTCGATGGCAGAGCTCAAAGGGTTTTAATCAGCGGTGCAGAGTCTAGCTGGAGGCCTGTGGTTAGTGGCATTCCCCAATGGGCAGTACTACTCATGGGTAGTACTACTCATGGGTCCAGTCCTACTCAATATATTCATCAGTGACTTGGATGAAGGGACTGAGTGCACCCTCAGCAAGTTTGCTGATGACACTGAACTGGGAGGAATGGCTGATGCACCAGAAGGCTGTAGTGCCATTCAGCGAGATCTGGATAGGCTGGAGATGGGCACAGAGGAACCTGATGAAGTTCAATAATTGCAAGTGTAGGGTCCTGCACCTGGGGAGGAATACCCCCCGGCAGCAGTACAGGTTGGGGGTTGACCTGCCGGAAAGCAGTCCTGCAGAGAAGGACCTGGGATTACTTGTGGATGACCAGTTGACCATGAGCCAACAATATGCCCTTGTGGCCAAGAAGGCCAATGGTATCCTGGGGTGCATCAAGAACAGTATGACCATCAAGAACCAGTAGGACCAATAGTATGACCTCCCTCCTCCCAGGTCGAGGGAGGTTCTCCTCCCCTTCTACTCAGCCCTGGTGAGGTCGCATCTGGAGTATTGTGTCCAGTCCTGGGCTCCCCAGTTCAAGAGAGATAGGGAACTTCTGGAGAGTCCGGCGGGGGGCTACAAAGATGATTAAGGGGCTGAAGCATCCGTCTGATGAGGAAAGACTGAAAACGGGGTCAGTTTAGCCTAGAGAAGACTGAGAGGGGACCTTAATAATGTTTATAAATATCTAAAGTGCAGGTGTCAAGAGGATGGGGCCAGACTCTTTTCCGTGGTGACCAGTGATAGGACAAGGGGCAATGGGCAGAAGCTGGAACACAGGAGGTTCCACTTAAACATGAGGAAAAACTTTACTGTTGGGGGTGACAGAGCATTGGAACAGGCTGCCCAGAGAGGAGGTAGAATCTCCTTCTCTGGAGATATTAGAAACCCACCTGGATGCAGTTCTGTGCAACTTGCTCTAGGTGTGTCTGTGATTCTGTGACTTACATACTAGGAGGGATTTCAATGGAAAAAAAGTTGCATCCTATTTTCAAACTAAAATAAGCTATCCATTGAAGGGATTTGATTTAAAAAAGAAAAAAAAAAAAGAGGAAGTAGATCTGTCTCAGGCATGCTATTGATCCATCTCTTCTCTCTCCGTCAGTAAATAAAAGTGTCACTCCACCACCTTGCAATAAAAGTAACATATTTTTCAAACAAGGAGACTGAAACCAACGTAAGAATGAATTACTGACAACTGGACCTATTTTATGATGCACGATGAACAGAGTCAAGGTGCTCCATGCATATCAAAGTGAAAGTTTTCTTTGATATGTGTGGTCTCCAAGCACAGATTTAACTGAGAATAATGTACACTTATCCATAAACTGGGAAAAACATCATGCTGGGAGTTATACAGTTAGTAAAACCTGGTATGTAGTAATCCTGACTGAAAACCCATTAGAGGACAAGCCTACCTCATAAATAAGTCCGACTTTTAAGGTTTAGAAGTAGATACAGGCCGAGCAAAATAGCTTATAGTTTTCCACAAGCAACAAGAGCAAAACTGTCAAGTAAAGAAGTAACAGAAAAGCCTCAGGAAGGTCTGTTACATTCTTAGTCTTTGAAATGGAATACAAACTATAATAAATATCTCTACCTTGGATCAAGGATGCCACCACTAATGGACATAATAAACTTAAAGTGTGACATATCAAGACTAAGTATGCAATCTTTCTGCACCATTTCATGGGATATTCTGAGTGTCAGCCATCCTTCCTCAGAAGCTCTGATGGCTGTAAGGGCCTGGAGAGGTGAAAGCTCTAAAGGATCCAAACTTTTAATTTGGAGATAAAGAACTAAGAGAGCTATAATCAGTATAATCCAGGCTACCATCCTCTTCATTTGTATATTCTTACATCAATTCTTTAACAGCAGCATCTGAAGGCAGATGAAAACCAAATATCCAAGACGTTGATCTATCTCTGTCTGGAAGATTTTTGAGAAGCATGATACAGTCAGAGTCTGAATTCTAGAGAGGCTGTATGAGGCCAAAGTAGAGATATCTAAACATTCTGTTACCTTCCTTAAAACTGCATTGTACTATATAAATGCATTCCTTAACATCTCTTATTGGGATCCTTAACTATTCAGAGGAAGAAAGCAATTTTGGGAAAAATTAACTACTTAATGCTTTATGAAGTGCGAGACGCATTTTAAGAACGTAGTGTATTCTAAACTGAGAATACTACCGCAGCTATTCGGATTCCATTAGAATATCAAATCTGAAGCTGATATTAGATACAAGTAAGTTTTGACTGTCACAACTCTATCTTTGGTACCAACAAAGATTAATAGATATTCCCAATAAAATATCCATTCCCAATAAACAGACAAATAAATAAAATAATCCTGACTACAGCATCACACATGATGCTACAACAGTGGCAGATGAGGAAGTACTAAAGCTAGTGACGGCGCCAGTGCAAGGAGGGTCAATATCAGAGCAGACTCCTTGCAAGGCATTATATTGGAATAATTTGGTTAGCAATACTAGAAAGGCACATAAGAGTTATGGGAGAATCAGAATCGCACAGAAACTGCAATTATTGCACAATGGCCAGTTTCACAAGAACTGCCTCCTATACTCCATAAAAATCTACTATTCAAATCAAGAATGACTATTTATACTGCTTGCATTTGCAGGGTTTGAACTTGTATTACTTAGTTTTCCACTGCTACCAGAAGCTCCCACAGTACAGGTTCAATTTCATTCATATGGCCTTTGTATCACTAGTACAGAAGACACTTCAGAGGAAAGCAGTATCTACTACTGGTTTACTTTCTGGGGTGGAGAGAACACATCAGACTAGTCAATGTTTTGACATCCGTAAAAACATAAAACCAAAGGTGTCCCGACTGTCACTATTTGATGTTTAGATGCACCAAAAAATTTTTTTAAAAAAATAATAATAAAAAAAATCAGGCAATGAAACAAATCAAAAGTTGCCACAAAGAAAGGATTCAATGCACCAAACTAGGTGTACATGATGCTGTAAAGTTAGATTACTTAATGCTTAGCACACAGTCAGACTTGAGCACTGTAACTTCTGTGGCTGGTAATACCTCAGAAGTAAACAGATTCTATCCTTGATGTTAGATGCATCCAACCTGTATCACAGATCCCATGCTATTCTAACTTACAGCAATGAATTTCAGAACATATTTTGAAACTAACTGTACTTGACTTGTAAACACCAATTTTAGTTGATCCAGAGATCACACAGACTGTAACCTGACACAAAGCTACTTTTGCAGGTGGTTATTCAGAGATGTCACCACAGGATCATCAGTAATTAATTAAACTGACAGGGAATACAGAAGTCTACCATAGGAAACAGAACTATCAGCAGAATAAGCATTGATTCCAAGTCAGTCACCTCCTCCAGTCAGCCCTCCATATCTTACCAAGTCTTTTCTGTCCTTTCAGCAGTTCCTTGTGCCTGTGTGCATACATGGTTCAGCTGAGGTAGATAAGTTTCGTTATTATGCAGAAGTAGATGGAAATAAACAATTTGGTAGTAAAATGTTTTTAAATACAAAACGGATAAAGTAGTTACTACGTAACAGCCATACTGTGGGTCTCAGTGTTAAATCACACGAGATTCAGAATCAGTGGTGTCTATATTTCCATTACAAACTTGATTTTCACTGATACAGGGACCCTTCCCAGACACAGAACCACTACACACACACTTCTCTGAAGCCCACAGGGCACACCTCATTCACAGAGGAAATTCATGTTCTAAATGAGAGCTTCGAATACTACTACTACTTTGACTATCACCCTTTGGAACGAGAATTACAGACTGCTGGCTTTTGACAGGATGATTGGGAAGAACCTGAGTCCTCTGAGACATTCCTGATGGTTAGGAGAAACAGGTTGAACATCTCTGCAAAATAACTGTCGGGTCTGTACAGTGGAAAGGTCCTTTACATGGACTAGAAGATCTGTCTTTGTAACCAGGGATGAAGTGATTTTCCTGCTTCTGTAGACTCTGAAGAATTAAACACTGAATAGAAGTAGGTAGTTCCTAGACAGGAACAAAACCTTCTTCCACTTTATAAGTACCAAAGACTATCCCGTACAAGTTTTCAGCTTTACTAAGCCTTTAAAGACTTGATAACAAATAAAATAATCAGAACAGTAGATTTCAATCATATTTTTCTTAATATATACCTTAGGAATATTGTAGGG